ATGTTACGAAGCTTGTATTATATTATCATTGACAAGCTTCTTATCTTCTCTTCTTTAGTGCATAGTGCAAATAAAGAAAAACGAGAAAATATTGAAGATTCTTAGCACTTATGCTTAGAACTTTGTTAAGAAACCAAAGAGGAAAAGAGAGAGAAGTGTTTAGAGAGAAATGCTTAGAAATGCTTAGGAAAGCTTGATATGAAAAACTCCATACAACACCCCCTATTTATACTAAAACTCCAAACCTACTACTCTCATCACAACCACACATCTCACCCATCAATCACACCTACCATATCCTTATTTTCTTCAATCACACCTAACACACACACAAATTCAAACTTCTACAACTCCTTACATAAGCATTACATCATCCTGATGTAATCGCTTACATAAGCATTACATAAATACGACATAATCGCTTACATAAACATTACATAAGCGTGACGTCAGCGAATGAATCACCTTCTCAATAGATCGATGGTCACCGATCTCGAAGTCCCGAAATCAGAAACCTTGGCCCGATATTTCTCGTCCAGCAATATGTTGTTAGACTTGATATCTCTGTGATAAATGGGGAACGATGCGGCCGAGTGTAAGTACGAAACGGCCCCTCCGATCTCAAGAGCAACGCGGAGACGCACGGCCCAAGTCAGTATGTACTCATCGGAGTGGTGACGGAGATGCTTGGACAGGTCTCCGTTGGGAATGAACTCGTAAACCAAAATAGGAACTTCGGTTTCGAGGCAACACCCCAAGAGTTTGACGATGTTCCTGTGGTTAATCTGAGAGAGAATGACGACCTCGTCGATGAACTCTTCGACTTTGTCTTCGTCCACAACTTTGGACCTTTTCACGGCCACGATTCTCCCATCCGCAAGCATTCCCTTGTAGACGGTGCCTTGACCTCCTTGCCCAATCACTCGGTCTTTGCTGAAGTTATCGGTAGCTTTCTCCAGTTCGGCCGAGCCGAACAACCTCGTCTTCTCGACGTTGGTTTCTGTTGTAGTTAGCTGTTGTTGCAATAGCAAACCCCCGTTGCGCTTGAAGAACTTCTTCTTTCGCATTATCTCCCTTTGTTTTTTTGACGAACTTGTACAATCCCCACAGCGCGATGAATAACGTCAGCAGGCCAAAACTTAAACTAGTGCCAGGATACGCAAGTGTCAAAAAATGTATTAATCATTTTTCTAATTGTAAACACATTTGGATAGTCGGCTCATTTTTTGAACCCAATTGGTAGTTCGTTTTCAAACGAGTTAGAAAAACCTTGGTTCATTCGGCTAGCTGTTCGAAATAAACGAATCGGGTTCATGAGACAAAAATAAATATAATATTTTTTTATGTTATGAAAATACCAAATAATATGACATTTTAATGTAAAATTTAAATATTAAAATATAGTATATAAAAGAAATTATACATATATAATCTATAAAAAATTAAATTAAGTATTATTTTTTTTATAGGAAAAATGACATTTTTCTATACTAATTTAGTCAAATATGACCTTTTTATACACATATTTTTAATTTAACAAAAAACTACACTTAAATTCAAAATTTTCCAAATATTTATACGAATTGTTAAAATTAACAATAATTACATGCATAATCATCATTTTCATTAAATTTTTTCAAATTCTGTTAACTAACGCACCGACATGTATGGTAGTTATAGTAATTACCTAACTAATGCATCGGTTAACAAAAAATGATGATTATGTATGTAATTATTGTTAATTTTAACAATTCATATAGATATATGGTAAATTTTGAATTCAAGTGTAGTTTTTTGTCAAATTAAAAATACGTGTATGAAAATATACTAAATTCATGTAGGAAAATATCAGTTTTTTATAAACTATAAATAAAAATATATAATTTAAAAAAACACCCGTTTTATCGAATTCATTTATCAGACTCGCGAACTTTGGCGAATTGGCTAAAAATACCAATTCGGCTCACTAAAAACCAAATCGATGACGAACCAATTCGCGAGTGAATTTTTTTTTTTCATGTTGGTGAATTGCCCAAGGTTCGAAGGCGTGATGTGTGGTGTTTAAGTCTTTACCACTTGTTCTGCCACCTTATACTCTCGAGAGTGGCCTTGTGTACGATATCAGCGTCCCCTGGCTTTGGAAACCTTATGGAGTGAAAAACTCGTGTACAGTGTGCGAGTGAACCTCAAAGAAAGTCGAGCGACTTACCTAAAATCATCGGTCTATTGTTCTTGGCCTCGCACGTGTAATATCCAGGCATATTCACACAAGTACCATGTGTTGGATATAATCTTGTCCGAAACCGGTTTCATTTTGTTTTTTATTGTTTTGGGTTAATTTCGGTTATGGTATGGTTAAACTTTTGAATAAGTAGGAGAAGACTTAGTGTTTATTTTTAATAGTTGCAAGAAGACCTATTCTTTAGGTAGTTGATAATGGCTACGTGTTTCCATTTTTATAGGGTTTAGTTATTATATTTGTATCTATATAAAGATTAAAAAAACTGATGAATAATATCAAGTTCTCTTTTGAAAACTTCAAAACATGTTTTTATTTTTTTTATTCGAAATATTATTTCGGGATTTTCGGTTTCTACACCATGCTCACAAATGGTATGTGCTTTGTCTTCTTCGCATTCATCTACGTCTGCATTAATTATGAAACAATGAATCTGTAATTAATGATCGTCTCTGAGATATAACGGTGGTAATCGTACGTCAAGAAACCAATGCGATCAAGCTAATTTACCCTTGCATCCGTCTGATACGTAAGGGTTCCCTCTGTAGCCGCCATAGCAGTAGCAACGTTTATAGCTCAGCTCGAAATTGTAGCCGTAGTTGCAAACGCAGCTGTTGGAAGAGCCAGCCCATCCGGTTTCCGTCATGTTTACACAGCCCAGGGGATCTGCATTGTGGGGTCTTCCTCCCATGTGCATGAGGCGTTTTTCACCTTGTGTGAAACATGGATAAAATGTTTTACGTGAAACACCATGATGATGTTTTCTTTCATCATTGCTTTGGACCCTTTTCTTTTCTATAATTAAAGAGTTCAAACGTCAGGGAAGATCAACACATACAGAGCGTAATCCAAGCAAGAGAGCAGAAAGAAGAAAAGAGAGAGTGAGAGAAAAGAGGGAGAGAAAACAGTTTGGTGCAGCTGTGATCAAAGCCTCGATCAGATGGTCATTCCTTATCCGATCGATCTGGAATTTGGAGGAGAGCTTCTACACTCATTGTTCTAGGTTTTGTCCGGTGGAATTTTGATTCCAACGGTCAGAATTGGAGAAACGGAGTTTCTACCGAAGCTGTTCGTCATTGGAGCTTCAGCAGCACATGTCCGAGTAAGTTGTAGATTCGGATGCCCATCTCCTCTCCGTTTGAGCTGAAATTTGGTATGCTTATTCTATACCCTCTGACCTTTTGACTATGGAGAAGTTGGTATTTGGTTGCCGGAATCAGAAGTTACGGGGTTAGCTTGCTGCCTAAGTTACAGCTGGTTCTTTCGGGTTTATTGAGATTGAATATTGGTTAATATTCGGAAGTCTCGGGTGTATCTCTTGTTTATTGGAGACCGAAGACGTTGTAACCCAGAAATTTGAGATTATAGTGGATTTTTGGGTGGACTACGGTCCCGTGGTTTTTACTCCTCACACCGAGGAGGTTTTCCACGTTAAATCGGTTGTCTCGTTTAAATTTCCATTTTTACTAGTTATTGTCATCCTAACCTGCTCACACAAGTAAGGGGTTCTCATTTATCGAATCGTGATTCATGGTAAAAACCCTAACATGCATCTCTCGGGTCCGACGTGTCAAAGTACCATCCCAACTCCACCACCGAATACCCATTCACATGAATCGCTTCGGGCTCCGTGATATTGGACGACGAGTACGTATCGTTCGTCAAGAACGCAACTCTGCACACTCCTCCTCCTCCTCCTCCGCTCTCCATCGTTACGTCGATTACCTGTGGAAGATCGATGGGTAACCTTGCTTGACAGCATCTGTAACCACTGCAGATTTCGTTTCTTCCTCGGTCTTCTTCGTCGCAAGTAGACTCGCACCCTGCAACCTGTGACTTGATGCCGGTGATCATCGCCTTTGTGTTGCAACAAACGGCTACGAGGTGGTTCGTGTCGCTGATGAAAAAGGGGCTGTTGGTCACGTCCAAAGGCGATTTGGGTCCCTGATCTTCCGAACAACCGGAGGAAATCACTGGACTTTTGACATGAACTAAGCCGTATGTAATGCCGGAGTCACCTGAGATTGAAAAGTTCACCACTTCTCTCTTGATCTTGGGAAGAAACGAAACCTCCTTGACAGACGACGATTTATTGCAAACGACTTCATACCACTCGTTGAGATAGCAACCCTTCGAGCCGATTCCAAAGGGGTACTCAAATGTTATTCCTCCGCATTTTCTTCTGCAAGAACTACGAGCCATGATACCCAGAGCTCGGGATGGAGTTGTTTTTGCTGATACCGAGCCATTGATAACAACACTGAACAAGGCGATGAATATGAAGTAGTAGCTCTGTCTGCTCATGTTTTGTCGATAACGTTTTTGACTCTCTAATGTTTTTGAAGGTGAGCGAAGAAATAGAGATAGTAAGCTGTCTCTTTTGGGATGGAAGATCCTTAGCACCGAAGAGGAAAGAGAGTATCGTTATTATATATGAAATAAGACCGGGAGATGTAGTTGCGCCAATGGCCCGGTGAACTTTCGGATTATAAAAAAAAACATTATTAAAAGGCCACCAAAGACTCTCGTGTTCCCTTTACCACCTAACACGGTTCGGAATTTTTGTTGTTGAAATGTTTAAATACTCCTTTTCTCTACCTTTTCGGAAAGGTAAATGCATTTAGACTCTATGGGTACTCAAGCTAAGATTTAAAATCCCTCCTTTACAACCCAACACTCCACCTTTTATGTTTAATATCCAAGAACAAGGCCACGTTCTTTGAATATTATTCAGGAATTTAGCCAAAAGGAAATATCATTCAGTAATTTCAGTGCTTCAGAAAGCTTAGTTGCCAATTGGATGTTTTTATTCATACATATATGGTAATAAGAAGACGTGGACCGATGACAACGAGCAGTGTTGTTCACAACAGAAGTAAGAAGCATACTTTTTACGGTACATCTTATTGCACAAACACAAGCAAAAAGAGTCCTTTTTCTATCACAGAGTACAGATAAACGGGAAACTTACGTGGAATGATGTGTAGTAGTACCGTTGACCAAGTGGGGTCACCATGTTTGACGAGGAAACAACGGGTCGACGTCCAACGAAGAGGAAGATGTATGGAATATGTCCGAAACCGGAGCACTAACAGCAATGCCCCAGGATTCTGCTATGTCAACTTCCACAGCTTCCTCTTCTTCTTCGTTTTCCGTATGGACTTGAATTGGATCCCCATTTGAGGAACGAATCCTCTCCAGTTCCACCGAAACTTCCCTCATGTTTGGCCGCTTATTCCCCTTCAGGTTCAGACACCTCTTTGCCAGGTTTGCCACCGCCATCACTTGTTCCACCTTGCAGTCATCTTTTATTCGAGCATCGATCATGTCAGAGAGGTTGTTCTGTTTCATTATGGCGATGAATTGCGTTGCCAAGATCCGGTTTTCTTGAAATCGCAGTAGGGAAACTGGCTTTTCACCGGTTATAAGCTCCACAAGCACGACTCCGAAGCTGTAAACATCGCTCTTGTCGGTAAATTGGCTTGACTGGAAGTACTCGGGATCCACGTATCCGACGGTGCCTGAAACCACAGTTGTCAGATGGGTATGATCTATGGTTACGGATCTCGAAGTGCCAAAATCAGACACCTTGGCTCGATATTTCTCATCCAACAATATGTTCGATGACTTGATGTCTCTGTGATAAACTGGACAAGACGCAGCGGAGTGCAAGTAGGAAACAGCTCCAGCGATCTCAACGGCGATACGTAATCGCTCCTCCCAGGTCATCGTGTAATTGTCGGATCCATCGTGAAGATGCTCGAAAAGGTTTCCGTTGGTAATAAACTCGTAAACCAAGAGAGGCACATCTGTCTCGAGGCAACATCCCAGGAGTTTGACGATGTTCCGATGGTTAATCTGGGAGAGAATGACGACCTCGTTGATGAACTCTTCGAGTTTGTCTTCGTCCACGGCTTTGGATTTCTTGACGGCAACGATTCTGCCGTCGAGAAGCATTCCCTTGTAGACAGTGCCTTGGCCGCCCTGTCCCAGCACTCTGTCTGTGCTGAAGTTTTCGGTTGCTTTCTCCAACTCTTTAGAGGTGAATATTTTCGTCTTCTCGACATTTCCTTCAGTCGAATTCAATTGTTGCTGCAACAACAACCCTCCATTGCGCTTGAAGAACTTCTTCTTGCGGTGTATCTCCTTCCTCTTCTTGATGAATTTATACAGCCAATACATTCCAGCCACCAAGAACAACAACCCGAAACCCGAACTAACACCTACAGCCCACAACAAAAGTTTGACAGTCAACTAACAAGTAAGGATACGTAAGTGTTTCGATTCAGACATAAATGATACAAATAGCTTACCTATGATAGTTGGCAAAGTCTTTTTCGGCACACATTTGTAATCTCCGCGAGTATTCACACAAGTAGTGTGTTCCCCACAATAATAGGGCTTTTCGGAGCATTCATCAATATCTACACAGAAAAACCGATACAAGGATTAGACATGATTTGAAAATAGAAAAACAATTCCACAAAAATATAAGAAACACCACATCTCCAATTTTTGCCACATCAGCCTTTAAAAAAACATATTTAGGGGAAAGAACATAGATATGAAAATTTTAACATAATTTGTGTATTTAATTATCAAATTGAATTCTTGTTGTTGTTGCATGTTATGGATAATCGATATATTCTTATGGGTGAAAATGTTGGGGATAAAAAAAGAAGCACTTGCCTCTGCATCCTCCGGGAAGGTATGGGTTCCCCCTGTAACCGTACATGCACACACAGCTTGGGTAGCTGACGCCGGAAATATATTCATAATTGCATTCGCAGTTTCCTCGGGGTTGGCCGAAGCCGTTGTCGATTGTTGAATTCAGACAAATCAAGGAGACATCAAGAGGAAGATCCACGGTCGAAATGAACCACTCAAGCAGTAACGAAGAAGATCCATTAGCAAGAAACGCACGCGGTTCTCTTACAGCTGATGCGTAGTATCCCTCGCATGTCAAGAAGGCAACTCTGCACCCTCCTCCTGTAGAGTTAGTTCCGTCCATGTTCTCTGTTCTAACACCAATCACTTGTAGAGACCGATCTGATGGTGTTGCCGCCTGGCAACATCCGTAACCGTCGCATAAATCCTTGCCCCGACGGCGTCTCTGCCTCCCATGATCACACGTAGACTCGCATCCAATGATGCTTGGCTCCACGTTCGTCATAAACGCTTTGTTGTTGCATCCGCTTGCTACGAGGATATTAACCTTGGACACAGAGAAAGGACTGCCTGTCACGTTCAAAAGAGATCCCGAATCTTCTTTGCTGGAACACCCCGATGATGATATCGGACTCCCGATGGTAAGTGTCCCACGTAAATTAAAAGGGAGAGTAATATTGAAAACTTGCTGGTTGATACGGGGAAGGAACAGGACAAGCCCCCCGGAGGTGCTTTTGCTGCACGTAATTTCGTACCACTTGTTGAGGTAACATCCTTTTCCGATCCCAAAGGGATATGGAATGGCGATATCCCCACAGCGGCTTTGGCAAGAGCTCGAGATGACGAGATCTTGATCCGTATTTTCTAATGCTACTGCTGAATAATGAAAGATCTGCGGGATTAGCAGAAGGAGAAGAAGGGTCCAGATTGAGTGATTCTCTCTCATGTTCATGATTCTGTCCCATTTCCAAAAGGCAGAGAGAGAGCTTTTGTAAGGAGAGGAATGTCTCCTCCATCTTCGAAGCTTAAACTCGTTGGTTGGAACAAAATTCCTGAAATCGACAGATATTTCACTGTTGATCCAACCCATCTTGTCTGCACTTTGAAAAGTATTGATCTTTGTTCGTTCTGCTGCCAAAGGCTTTTGGCGCTGCGAATTTATTTCTCGAAAGACGGATGGGTGTCATTTATTGCTCAAATTATCTTTCTACAAAGACCAAGACTTTATAGGTCTGCTGCGAAAGAGAGTCTTTGGTGGGCTCTTAACGTGTGTCTGACGTTATCATATGAATGAGACAAGGATATTTCCATTACATCTTAGCAGCTTGTGCTTTGATACTCATTGCACTGTCATCCCTGTTTATAAATGGCTCATCAACAAAAAACAGCTCCATCCCGAGTCATTTGTAATGATTAAAAATAGTTATTTGCAGAGATCTTCTTCATGAATGGGAGTTTCAGTTTCTTTTGTTAAACACGAATAAATTACTACGCACACATTGTACAGTGTTTTTAAGGTGTGTCGTATCTGCGAATCAAGAGCAACGAGAAGCTCTTGGTGATAAAACACATTTATCATCTCGCTTGTAGCCTTACTACAAGCTGAAGTTATTGGATCCGTTAAATTTTTCTACCACGATTTTTGCATTCATCACCACCATCTTTCCCAATGATATCGAGGGCCTCGCGGTCGACGTTGATGAGCCAACTGATGGAACCACCGCTATCGCTGGTGTTTCGGTGATTTCCTAGACCACAATTCCAAATCACCTTTTTTTTTTTTTCAAAATGACTAGTGCCTTAGCAAAAAGATATTGCGACTCTGATACCAATTGTTCTGTGGAAGCGTATCGGGTGTCAAATGCGGTAGGATAAAATCAAACAAGAGAAAATAAGAGACACCAGAATTTAACGTGGTTCGGCAAATTGTCTAGTACACAACGAGAAAGAATACAAATTTCACAATATCGGTGAACAAATTTGGAAATACAATACACTCTCTTAGTTTTCAAAATATCCAATCAAACACGATTTCTGTCGTAACGCTAAGAAGAAGAATATACCAAATGTATTAAAAAAACTCATCGAAACAAATTTTTTGGATACCCAAAAAATACCCAGAAAACACTCTAAAAGAACCAGATTTCTTCTTGAAAAAGAAATCTTCTTCTCACATTCCTTACTCTTCTTCTATGTGTTGCTTTTGTTTTGGTGATAATTAGGGATGTCAATATGGGTTTGATTATTGATCCAAATGGATTAACCCATTTAAGTAACTTTTTCAAATGGGTTAAACGGGTTTTAACCCTATTAAACCCATGAACTAAATGGTTAAACCATTAAACCCATTAACCCCACTATATCATGATCATGCTCATTAAACTCATTACTATATATAACTAAAACCATTATATATAAATATCTAAATAGTAATATATGTATATCTATATACACGTAAATATATGACACCGAATCCATATGTTTGGGTATCGTTTCCAAAACGAAACGAAAAACTTGGTACCATTTCGAAATGACCGAAAAACTCGGTACCGTTTTCGAAACGAACCAAAAAAATCAGTATCGTTTTCGAACCCAACCAAAAAAGCGATACCGTTTTCGAACCGAACCAAAAAAATCGATATCGTTTTCAAATCGAATCGTTCAAAAAATTGAATGATAACGTTTCTAAATAATCGAATCGAATCGGAACGAATTTTAAAAAAATCCAAAAAATGTCTTAAGAAAATATATATTTTTCTTAATAAAAATTGAATGTTACACAAGAGTTCAATTCTCCTACAGAATTTAGTAAGAACGGTAACCTGGAAGGCTTACAAAAATTCAATATTATATCAAACATTATGCGAAGAAGCTATGTTGTAATCAAGGTGTGGAAAACCAGATGTGAAGTAATGAGCTAGCCATTTGTGGATGAGAGTACCGAATGGCCGCCATCTTGTTTCGGAAGTGGTGGTTGATTTCTGCCAGTGCTGAACAGATCCTTGAAGCGCCCGGTATGTAGTCGCGAGTTCCTCTCAAGCCATACTATGTAGACGAGTGCTTGCCAAGTAAGTTGTGCCCCCAATAACCGAGTTTTGCAAGTCCATAAAGCTCTTCCGGGAGAGCTTTTGCTGAATCTCGTAAACAACATTTCCATAAATGATTCTTGATGGCTTCAGGCTTAGCTTTGTCCCCTAAAGTTTCGAAATTTCTTGGGTTTGTGTAATGAAACGGAGCATACATATGCAGACACAGAGCTTACCAACGCTTAAGATAATGCAGCGGTGATGCTGGTTGAGGAGAGGTGGCGATCACTGTGTTTTATGAGGAAACAGCGGTTCAACATCAGTCAATGAAGAAGATGCAGCGACGAATTCAGCGGATGGAGCACTGAAGACAACGTTCCAAGAATCTCCAATGTCAACTTTCACGGCTTCGTCCTCTTCGTCTTCCTCAACGTTATCGACGAGAAATGGATCTCCGGGAGATGAAGATCGGATCCTCTCCAGTCCCATTGAAACTTCCCTCATGCTCGGTCGTTTCTTCCCTTTCAGGTTTAGACACTTCCTCGCAAGCTTTGCAACCGCCATTACTTGTTCGAGCTTAGAATGCTCTTTGATTCGGCCATCGACCATATCATCGAGTCTCTTCTCTTTCATGGCTTCAATGAAATGAGCTGCCAATCCCCTGTTCTCTTCGGACCTCACATCGGAAACTGCCTTTTCACCAGTTATGAGCTCCGCAAGCACGACTCCGAAACTATAAACGTCGCTTTTGTCTGTAAAATGGCTCGACTGGAAGTACTCGGGATCAAGATATCCAAAAGTACCTGCGACCAGTGTTGTCACATGGGTTTGATCTATGGTAACGGATCTCGAAGTGCCGAAATCAGAAACTTTCGATCGGTATTTCTCATCCAACAATATGTTTGAGGATTTGATGTCTCTATGAAAAATAGGACAAGACGCGGCAGAGTGCAAGTAAGAAAGAGCTCCAGCAATCTCAACGGTGATACGTAATCTCTCCTCCCAAGTCATCGTGTAATCGTCAGATCCATCGTGAAGATGCTCAAAAAGGTTCCCATTGGAAATAAACTCGTAAACCAGGAGAGGAACATCCGTCTCAAGACAACATCCCAAGAGTTTGACGATGTTCCTATGGTTAATCTGGGAGAGAATGACGACCTCGTTGATGAACTCTTCGAGTTTGTCTTTGTCCACGGCTTTGGATTTCTTGACTGCAATGATTCTGCCATCGAGAAGCATTCCCTTGTAGACAGTGCCTTGGCCGCCCTGTCCCAGCACCCTGTCTTTGCTGAAGTTTTCGGTTGCCTTCTCCAACTCTTTAGAGCTGAATATTTTCGTCTTCTCGACGTTTCCTTCCATCGTCGAAGTCAGTTGTTGCTGCAACAACAACCCTCCATTGCGCTCGAAGAACTTCTTCTTGCGGCTTATCTCCTTCCTCTTCTTAATGAATTTGTACAGCCAATACATTCCAGCCACCAAGAGCAACAACCCGAAGCCCGAACTAATCCCTGCACCCCCACAACGAACAAAAGTTTGACAGTCAACTAACAAGTAAGGGTATACAAGTGTGTTGATTCAGACATACAAATGGTCAGAGTTCAGTTCAATAACTCGCCTACAATAGCTGGCGATATCTTTTTCTGCACACATTTGTAACTTCCGCGAGTATTCACACAAGTAGAGCCATCTCCACATGGGGAAGGTTTTTTGGAACATTCATCAATATCTACTCACAAAGAGACAAATAAAAGGATGAGATATGGATAATCGATGTATTTATATGGGACTTTAGGTTGAAAATGTGGGGATAAAAATAAGAAGGAAGCACTTGCCTCTGCATCCTCCGGGAAGGTATGGGTTCCCCCTGTAACCGCTTATGCAACCACAGCTTGCGTAGCTGATGCCGGAAAGATGTGCATATCTGCAGTGACAGTTTTCTCGGGTTTCGCTTGTTGTAATGTAGCCGCGTGTTGAATTCAGACAGTTCGAGGGGGCGGAAAGATCCATGAACGGAATGTACCAGTAAAGCCGTAACGAAGAAGAAGAAGATCCATTAGCAAGAAACGCACGTGGTTCTCTTACAGCTGACGAGGAATATGTCCGGTCTGTCAAGAAGGCAACTCTGCACCCTTCCCCTGTAGAGTTGGTTCCGTCCATGTTCTCTGTTCTAACACCAATCACTTGTAGAGATCCACCTGATGGAGCTGCTGCCTCGCAATATCCGTAACCGCGATTCTTACTTCCACGGTCACAAGTAGACTGGCATCCAATGATTCTTGGCTCCACGTCCGTCATAAACGCTTTGATGTCGCAACCCATTGCCACGAGTTTATTACCGTAGCCCACAAAGAAAGGACTGCCTGTCAAGTTCAAAAGAGATCCAACATCCTCTCGGCCCGAACACCCCGACGATGCGATCGGACTCGTGATGGAAACCGTCAAATCACTGGATGCGAGTCGCACGTAATTTGGTATATTCACAACTTGCTTGTTGATACCGGGAAGGAACGGGACAAGCCCCCCCGAGGTGCTTTTGTTGCACGTAATCTCAAACCACTTGTTGAGGTAACATCCTTTTCCGATGCCAAAGGGATACGGAATGGTGATATCTCCACAGCGGCTTTGGCAAGAGCTCGAGATGGTGAGATACTGATCCGTGTTTTCTTCTTCTGCTGCTGAAGAATGAAAGATCTGCGGGAGGATTAGCAGAGGGAGGAGAAGAAGAAGCGTCCAGATCGAGTGATTCTCGCTCCTGTTCATGTTTTTTTTTTTTTTTGGGTGCCACGTCTAAGTCTGATTTCTTCCGGAAGGCGGAGAGCTTTTTGTAAGGACGGGAAGCGGAGGCCTCCGTCTACTTCGACTGAGCTCCGACCCCACAGATGTCGGCATCTTCGAAACTTCGTTTGTTGATTGAAATTAATTTCCAGATACGGACAGAGGTTTCACTGTTAATCCAACTCAGCTTTCCGCCGTGCATGGTCAAAGGGGGAGGCTGCGGAGGAAGAAAGGGGCCCACCCCAAGCCTCTAATCTTGTAAATCGGGGGCTCCGGGGTAGAGACACGCACACAGAAAGAGGAGAGGATAGAAAAAAAAAAAGAATATTTTATGAGCACAAGATAAGATGTCATTGGTGGATCTTTTAATAATTAATAATGATATCAAACGAAACTCATACAATGTTATTTGATATATAATAATGACGTCAGATGGTAACATAAAAAGTTAACGATGCTTGGCTTGGTTGATATGAATTTTTTCTAGTCCAAGGTGAAGAGGGAAGTAGTGAATTTTTCCATTCCAGATGATTCTTTTTTAATAGTCCATAAGATTAGTGTTTCCAATTATGAATTGATACCTTTAAATCTTGTACATTCACACTATGCGAAGTGGTAAAGAGATGATCTCATGACAGGGTTTAAATTGCCCTCGAGTGCAAATTCCACGGAAACGATATTTGCGGATAGCTAGCTATTCAAAGCTATTTAAACAGTTGCCTTTGCGAATATAATTACTATTTCGAGTTGATTTTGCTCGGGTGGTTGCTATGGAGTAAACCATTACATTCCAGTCGGATCCAAAGGTAAGTAATAGTTTGATCAGTAGCAGGCCTAAAATAATTTATGAAAAAAGGCAAAACAATTTTAATATTTTAAATACAGGGATATTTAACATTTTTATTTAAAAAATTATAAAACTTAAAAAGAAATTTAACATTTTTTGATCAAAACAATGGGAATACTTGTATCAAATCTTTAGGGATCCTTCAGGCGTGAAGCCAAGAACACCTTACCATTGGTTTCACGTAAGCCAACGAAAAGTTTTCACTTCATAAAACTGTGAAACCTTCGGTGATGACATAAAAAATGTGACATTATAACTAGAGCTGAATGTTTGGTTCGATTTTAGTGTCCATTCGGTTCGTAACGACATCATTATATGAATACGAAATAAGTGTCAAACCATTATATTACATATTATTTGGTGAATAATTCGGATTTTGATTCGTTTGTTTCGATATTTGTACAGTCCGATTCGGAAACGGTTTATCCGGTTCTATACAAAGTTCGGATCAAAACTACATTCCCAGAGGGGGGGGACCCCATTTTAGGCCAGCATCTCTTTTGGTAATGTAGAAAAAAACGCTATGCATTCTTGAACTTTTATGTCCTTCTTGTGCAGGCACTTTGGTCTGCGGACTTTATTCACTGCGCTGTGGGGATTGTAAGTGAAGGCTGCGGTTGCAGAGCTTGCGAAGAGGTGTCTAAGCCTAAAAGGAAAGAAGAGACCTGCCACGAGAGAAGCTTTGCTCGTAGAAGAAGATGAAGCCATGGAAATCAGCATAGACGATTCTTGGAGAGTTAGCATTAGTGCTGCAGCCTCAGCCCTTGCTGAGCTCCTGGCTTCACCTCAAACATGGCGATGGAGAGAGGCCCAAGACACTGCACATCTGCAGTGGACTGGCATGTAAAGAGCAGAAGATCCGATTGTTCAATGTTCATCATCACCCATCAGAGAATTCATGTTGTTCAAACTCATAATGTTTCGTATGCAATACACACAAATGAATCTGGAATGGGCTCCCTCTGCTGTATTGAAACATTGTTGTATATCATTTCATCACGCAATACACACAAATTTGTGCAGAGAGAGAGAAGGAAAAAGAATGGCCGTTCAAAGAACAATGCTTTTCAGCTTTGGCTGAAACCCTATATAAAAAAAAAAGCTTCAGAAATCTACAAAAATTTCAGCTTTCCTTTGGTGATGGTGGTGTGGGCACGTTCAAGCTGGCACATTGCCTTGTCTTTACCAGAGAGACCGGCACACGAGTGCATCGAGCCTAAGGTGACGGCGAAATAGAGATAAACGGTGCAGAGGAATGCCAGAAGAGCCAGAGCCGTCAAGAGGAACCGATGCCTCTGGACGACCGTGGAACAGCTTCCCAACTCATCCCACTGTTTCTTCAGAGACTGAGGCTTTCTCACAGGCGAAGACACGACCGCGTCAAGAACCATGGCTCCTGTACCAGTGATGGCGACTGCAAATCGCACATTGAGTTTGGGATTCATAGCAGAAAAAACCAAAGCCCCTGCGAGAAAGGAGGGGTCTTGACGAGAGATCCAAAGGGGTTGGAGGTAAATTTCGAGCTGTTTCATCATGAAACAACCATACGAGAAATCCAAAGATGAAAATGCCCGATTAAAGATGGCGCTTTGATCTAATCCCTACGAAATTTGCCGATGTAAAAAAGGACAGATTTTTCTGCGATAATGCTGAAAAGCTGAGCACCATCTACCGGAAGAGAGAGCGGAGCTAAAAACCCAAATCTCTAATCATCGGAATAATGTTTCCATTTCCCAAAACAATTTCCGATGGACATGGGGCGGAAAATCCGCGAAGAAATTCAAAAGCTCGACCGAAATCGACAAATCAATGGCGATGAGATCCAAACCCTGTCATGGAAACACCTTCACAGATCGAAACAGGCAAAAGAAGAGAAGAAGAAACGAACCAGTGAAACAGAAGAGCTCACGACGACCAGATAAGGATCTGAGGAAGAACAGCTAATCCCGGTTCCGACACCGGAAAATCTCGCCGGAATTCTCCTCCGCTTTTCCGAATCTATACAATCTTTCCTTCGTCGGGTTACGGCCCGCGAGCGATGTCGATTGGCGGAGTACGCGGTATTCGTCACATAACCGAAAAAGAATTACAGATTCCGCGGGACGAGAGAAGAAACAAACAACGAAAGCGTGTTTTGGTATGGTTGCACTTTTTGTGCGGTCTTATTATATATAGAGTGCTGGACATGTTGGGCTGTTCCTCCTCTCATTAGATGGCTTCTTTGGGAAATGCTGACTCTTGAAGCATTCAAAGGACGTGTGAAATTATAATACCCCAGTCGAATCAAGAAACCGAGGAAGGAAAGCGGGAGGAACGCCAGCGAAAGATATCGGAGGAAGGAATGGCATTATACGAATTCGTTATCAATTATATGTATTTTAAAACTTTTGTGTGTATATATATATATGATTTTAATTACTAATTAAAATCATAAATTTTACAAAAAATCTCAGTAAAGTACACATTTTTACAAAAACCAGATCAACTACGGTACCACGTGGAAGTTTCGGAATTCGCTTTGGGTTCGGGATGAGAATGTATCGGTTCAGTTTTTTCGGTTTTACAAAAATAGATACCAAACAGTTTTTATATTATGTTTGGTTCGGTTCGATTCCAGTTTTTAATTAAAAAAAAGATAGATTTTTTAAAAAAAAAAATTTATTTTTTTGGGTTTTTTAAAATTCGGTTCGGTTCGGTTTCAAAAAGTTCGGTTTGCTAAAAATAATACCATTTGAAAATTTAAAACGGTTTGGATCGAGAAAAATACCGTATTTTTCAGTTTGGCTAGGTTTGGTTCTAAAAAACCGAACCGAAATGTCCCCTACGGTACAATACAATATTTTGGAAGTCATTGCGACCTTTATAATTTCAACTGAAAATTGGGAAAAAAAAAGTATGATTTTTTTTTTAATTTTAAAATTGGTATGTATATTAATATGGGAATCAGTAACAAATCTTGAAATCTGTATAAACACTGCGTGCAGACAGAGTTCTTCTACATGGTTGATGGTACATGAAGAGGTGGCAAAAAGGCAAAACTAGGAAGACCACCAGTTCTTGACACTCTCCGACAGCAAAAATTGACAAGAAACAAGACACTTTAAGTATTGAACACACTCCTCCTGTCCTGTGTATGATTTCGTCATATGCAAAACACAGACATTGTATAGATATGAGAGAAAGAATGGTGGGACAAGAATGTTCAAGGCTTTTTCACTGCCACTCTATAAGAATTTCAGCTTCCCTTTGGAGACGGTGGAATGGGCATGCTCAAGTTGACACATTGCCTTGTCTTTTCCGGTCAATCCAGTGCAAGAATGCCG